TAACTCTCATCCACATAAAATACGCCATGATGAAAATATCAGCCCACGACACAGTTTCTCCAAGCAAAAAAGACCCCTTGCCCCCATTCTTCGAATACCACACGTCTACCTTCCCCAGCGCGTTCTTAAAATTCTCCCACTCCACTACTGCTCTGTCGCCTTTGGGTAAAAGTTCCTCCATCGTCTTTCCGAACCACTGTTCCCTCGTCTGACGGTAATACTCTTGGCTGGCCGGAGTGACTTTGCGGTGTGCGGCTGGGATGCTGAACATCCAGAAAGAAGGCGTCAAGTGCGCTCTGAACAACTGCATCATGGACACTTGAAGCGCGTGTGTGTTGTAAGGAAATAGCGAAGGCGTGTCGGGGTATGTTTCTTCGAGGTATTCAGCGATCAGGATGGACTCGGAGAGGTATTTTCCCGTGGAAGGATCGTAGATGGCCGCGAGGGTGTAGAATGGGCTACCGTCTGCGTTTGTGGAAGTAGGAGGGATGTCCAGTTTTTTGCAGTGCGCCTGGACATCTTTGAATTCGACCCATTCGGTTCTGTATGGGATGCCTTTGATGTTTAAAGCGAACCTGTTGCCAAAGAGTGAGATTGGGCGTATATGATAAAACGTTGGTATGAAGGGACGATGTCCTCGAACTCTCCAGATTGCGGAGTTTGATAAAGGGGACGTACCTGACTTTCCATGTATTTGCAGACCACGCCTTTTCTGGTGTATCTGAGAGTACATCGTAGAAGATGATGGTCATCGCAGAGACTCGGGGTTGACGTAGGGGAGTTTACAAGATCTAGAGCAAGTACTCGCCGCTCAGGTGGGAAGTATTTATCTGCTAAACGAAATTGAGTATAGAATATATGCCACGACAGGATCCGTAATAGCCAAGCCGCTAGTAACCGCTCAAGTTTATTATCGGAGTATTTCGACTAGCATTTATAAGTTAAGTAGAACCCAAGCATCGGACGTAAACTATCTTATCTCGACCTTCATCTACCGTTCTCCCCGAGTCCCCCTTGTCAATTTATAGTAAGGCAATAACGACGAATGGGATTATAGGACTATACTCCGGAAACCCTATCTGAGTGCGTGCAGGTGATCCCGCGGTAGTTAATCAATGCTGCATCACTAGGAAGAATAATATTCCCCTCGGTCCAACTTACAATGCATTCCGCGGGAAGGATATATGTTTGTCAAAAGATTTTGGTATACATTTAAATAATACAGTATTCCTTTCTAACCTGTACACCGCTCGTATCAGTTTATATTATTGAAGCTCGAACCAAAGCGGAGAATGCGAAGCAGCGACAAAAACCAATGAACATCAATGACTTGCTTGAAAACACCTGAATAAAAGAAACACATTGGATCTACCCAAGTGACTTGTAAGTACGAATGAAAGGAACAGTATTAAGTAAATCTATATATAATAGCGAACTGTAAGTAAAGCTCTGAGTATAACATATAAAACAGACTATGACTATGTAATAAAGCGAAGCAAAGTGCATGCATAATGAGGAGTGAAGCTAATGAAAAGTGAAGAGTGGGGTGGGGTGTGGTACCAAGAAATGGTATATATATGTATGTACGAGTACGAATACGAGTGAGAACGGGACTACATGTTCTATTGAAGATGATACCTCGAAGTAGTCCAGGATATCCTTCCCACAGGCTTATACGCTGAGGGGCGGATTTTGACTTTTGACTTCTATCATAGGATAGGATAAGGCAATGGATCGCGGCATAGGTACGGCATGTGTATATATAACAAGGGGCGTGCATTGAAAGTTTGAAGGAGGATGGAGAGTACGCGTCATCGAGGGTGTGTAGGCACGCTCGAACGGCATTGGAGAGTGGGTGCCTCAAAATAGCGTGGCATGAGGTGAAGGTGTGGGCAGGGGAGAGGAGGAAGGGATGATAGACAGGCAACTGCAGAATGCTGAGTAAAGGACCAAGAACGTGCGTTGACTGAGGTTGACGGTAACGCCCAGGAGATACAATGAATTAGGCTGGGTGTGTGTACACACCGGTGAGTTTGGGCATACGAGAGGGCGACTGTAATTATCGGCCAATGGAATTCGCCTTGCTCTCCTGGAGGCAGGCGGATGGGGTGGATGATGCAGAAAATGAACGACGATGAGGAGGAACCAATGAGAGGAAAGAAACGGGAGCACCCTTCCACTTTCATCATGAGCTCAACGCACTTCCGGAAGAACTGCTCCATCTGATCAAGCCCTCGTAGATCGAATACATGACCGCTGCATTGGGAACGACACGCATCAAGTGTGCGCTCAGCCCGCTATAGAGGGTTCGCGCGCCTTCTTCGTGGATAACGAGCTTCAGTGTCTGCCAGAGTCCGGTGTATTTGACTATACCGTTCACGCTTGGCTGTCGTAGGCGGGTGCGTAAAACCTGAAAGAAATGAATGTCAGGGTGAAGTAACGAAAAGAAGCCAAACATCACGTACCTCGTGAGGATATGTGATCATACTGGCCACAAACTTGGCCGTACCCGCACTACCAAGCATACCAAGCCACTGCCACACCGCGCCCTGCCTGCCCTCCGCAGCCGTGCTCAGCTTCTTCAGCCTCTCATAAAGCACCCACTGAATAGTGCTCTCTGTAACCCCCAAATAACTCGCACTCAAACCCTTATAGAACCCCTTCACGCCCTCCTCGCGCATGATCTTCTTTATACACGCCCAGCTTCCTCCAAGGACCTTGTCTTTCCTATCGCCATGTGCGAGCTGCAGCCGAGTTTTAACGACCCAGATGGGGTTGGTCGCCGTTCCGGTGGCGATACCCGCGATGGCAGCTGCGGCGAGGTACACAAAGCTGTTCTCCTGCCCATTGTTGAATTTTTCGGCGATGATACGCTTGCCGTTACCGTATGCGAAGAAGTTGATGGATCGCGCGGGGATGACACCGACGAGGGTGGGTCCCAGGCCTTTGAACAGCGCGCGGATAGATTCTTCGCGGTATATGTCTCTGTTGAAAGAAAGGAGGAGCTGTTGTAAATGGAAAGGGGGCAGTATGTGGAAGAACTTTAAGACATACCGGATGATGTAGCCCGTTTCTACAAAGTTGTACAGCAGGTTCGTCGATGAACGCGGTATGCTGCCCATCATGACGCTGCTAGCGCCCCCACTGTGCCCTAATACCCCAATGTGTGCTGGGTGTTTTTGGCGAAATAGGTCGGACTGCAATCGTGTCTTGACGACGTCAAAAGGGCTCGTAACAATTGCACCGCACATCCCTCCGAGTCTGCCAGAAATGTGGGTGGTTAGAACCATATTGGGGTGAATAGTGGTGTAGATGCCCTTACCCTCCAGCTACGAGATGCAGCCATGGACTTGGCTTTTTGAGCTCTTGCGGTGGTGAGGGAATCGGAGGCAACGTCGCCATATCGTTTCAAGCCAGACGAGCTATTTCCTCCCAAGAGTCTCTGAAAATTAGGGGAAAATGATCCAAAGTTCCGCGCAATATACGAGCCCAAAGAACGGAGAAAAAAAAGAGACCAGGCGGGAGGAAAGTGACAAGTTCAGAAATCCAAATTTGCCGGGTGATTTTTTCGTATCACGTGGGACGGAACCAAACAGGCAGGCAGCCGATAAGATTTGTCCGAAAACCCAATTGGCAGCGTCAACGTTCGCCTTGCTATTTATCTGACAGCACCCATGAGCTCGTAGCCTTTCTATTCTTTGCGTCGCCCACGTTCGTTCCAGAGCAACGTCCACCATGTTCTGTCTTTCCGTCGTCAAAGTGCGTCGTCGTCTTGTGGTTTCTGTGGATTGGTCATGCTGACTCGAGCATCTCGGATACTCCTCAGGACACGATGGCCATCCACCCATCCAACTTTGGCGCACCGGTGGAAGACGCACTGATAGCGGAGATCAACAAAAATACGCCAATCGCGGTGTTGCACGACGTCGGGCTGTGTATTTGTGTTTTCGACATTACTCAAGCGGGTGAAGGGAAGGTGAGATACGGAGACGGATTCCTGTGGTATAAAGGTGCTTATTATCTGTCTTACATTGTATTTTTTGAATACTTTGCTGATTTAATGCCGCATTTCCGTTGTATCGCCGATTGCAGTGGTGTTCCGCCTTGTCGTGTTTCGACCGTTTACTTCTGAAGTCATCATCGCCAAAGTCAAATCATCAGATGAAGATGGAATAAGACGTTGCGTCCCAGCTTCTCCTCCCTTTCCACGAACCCCTCTTAGATCTCACCTTCATCCACAGTGACACTGGGCTTCTTCGACGACCTGTTCATCCCTGTATCATACCTCCTCAACCCACCGCATTGTAAGCACCCATTTCCCTACAACCTACATTGATTCGCACCAACTAATATATCACCCTCAACCCCCTCCACCATCTTAATAATAATCCGCTTCCAAACCCAAAGCGACCCAAACGAACGCGCCCCATTTCTGGATCCCCGACTCCACGCTCACAACCGCCACAGAACTTCTCGACACACCCCTCACCGAGCGAATGTACATCGACCAAGGCGAAGTCGTCCGCGTCCGCGTAGAAGCGGACGAATTCTGCGATGACGAACCCGGACCGATCAAAGTATCCGAAGGGGTGGTGCAAGCCAAAAGGGAGGGGAAGCGGCCGAATTATAATGATTTGCGTGAGTGGCCTTATTTGCCTTCTACCTTCATGTGGAGCTTTAGGTGTTCATTGTCTGTTGTGATTTGCGTCTTTCTAGTGTTCGATTGCTGAACAGGGATTAGGTCCCGTCGCATGGTGGTCTGGCGCATCGCAGGAAGGCGAAGGTGAAGAGATGGACGAAGGATAAGATCAAACATGACACTGTTGTTGCGAGTAGAAGACTCGATGTAGACTCATTTAGAGGTGGTGTATATTACTTGGATTTCATTTTCTTTTCCATTTTTTCCCGTGCTTCAGATTTCAGTCGGATTTAGCTTTTTTTTCTTTTTTTTGGGGATTTTACAACAGATTCTATGTGCTTAACGGCAACTCAAACTTATTGGCCGCCTAGCTCAGTTGGTTAGAGCGTCGTGCTAATAACGCGAAGGTCTTGGGTTCGACCCCCACGGTGGCCACTGTTGTATGGATCCTCTTCTATTTTTCGCCTTTGATAACATTTTTCCAGTCCATTGAAAGGATGTGTATTTGTATACAGAGTACCCTGATTTCAGTCTTTTTACCACCTTTTGACCTATAAAAACATGTGGTCAACTTATTTTTATCAATTCTCTGGCCTTGGCATTAATATTGATGAACTTGGTGTAAGTACAGCCAGATTGTCATGACAGTTAAACACGAAATCTGCAAAATTAGGCTGACAAGCATGAAAATTGGGAGGAAGCTGGTGCACATTGTTCCTGTATTGAATGGGCCTATTCCAGTCTATGAAATTCTTCAAGCACTCTCAGTATTAGAGCTCTATGGTGATCCCTGTGAGCCCAAATATTTCACTCCCAGAAGTCTTTTTACAGTCGCTTCAGCATATCAGCATGACATTTGAGAACTCCGTCAAACCCCATCTCAAAATTTCTGATCCATACACAAACTCCACCTCAATGCTGTCTTTCATTCAAAGTTTCTGTGGACCATTTCAATCATGTCGACCATAAGGACATCGCATGCGCTGATGTCTTTTGGCGTTATACCTCAGTCCACTGCCATAATACAGTCTGCCTCCATCTCTCTCCACCTAAAATTCACAGAATCGCCTCCCGGTGATCCGTGTTCTGAAATTTACATTCGAAGTCATGAATTTACTTATTGAAATCACACAATATTTCCTTGGCCATTCCTCCATACTTCCCCTTCCCATATGCCATACATTCCATACACTATCTTTTCATCCAGTACACGGAATTCGGGATTTTGATCCCACTGCGTTCAGCCTCACCTCATGCTCCCTGGCTATCGACGTGCTCGAGTTAGTCCCTAAATCCTAGAACGTATTTTGAAACTTCTGAAAGCAAAGTTCACTTCGGATCTTTCCAGAACTCCACACCATAAGATTTCGTCATTATCCAAAGGTGGAGATATGTGGTTAATCAAAAATGTTTCCTTGTTCTTCGAACCCTTGCCGGTAAACCACTGCGGAGGCTTGTTGCCCAAGTTTTCGAATTCTTAATAATAATTGCAGAGAGCCCAATCTCAAGGGCAAATCAGATTGCATGAGGTTCAATGATGCGAAATGGACAATATAAGAAAAGAATGTGTCATCGATGATATTACCTGCCGAAGCATGGAAGCCACTCATCCATCGCCAGCTGAAATAGGCCCAAACCGGTGAAGAAAGGCTCTTGCGATACAGGGCTGTAAAATCCTACGGTCTTGAAGTCACTGTGATTGGCATCGGGGGTAATTAGAACGCGCATATCAGAGACATGGACCATATTGTCGTAGGTTATACCGAAGAATGAAGAAGGCGAAGATGCAGGGGTGTTACAGCTGTCAGTTGTGTTAGAAGTACTTCTAGTTTAGTTCACAGGTCCTCAAACGACTTACGCAGGAACAGAAACTGAAGGTTTTCGGTTTGGAGCATTGGACTCAATCGAGGCAAGGCCCATTGTTCGCCATGGATCAACTAAATCGCCATTCACCGGTCAGAGATAGAGACGAATTCTGGGCACGTAATATGAACGCTCACATTCTCCATTCGAAAACATGACATTGGAAGGGTTCATTTTCCAGCCTCCATATTTGTTAAACATTTTGGACTTGGGGCGAAGAAGGCAAACCCTTTGGGAACGTTTCATCGCACTGCTGCTGGAAAAGTTCAAGGGATAAAAATGAAGTTTCTATAGAGAGCGGATTATTCGGATCTCCGCGTTGATAGAGCCTTTAAATATCATGATCAGTCATTTAAAATTCGGGAGCGACATCTAGGCCAAAGGCCATACCATATTCTGAACAATATTGCCACATCCACGATCGGTCTTGTACTGGATCATCTGGGTCCCCCGGAATTGCAGCATAGTCCACTTCACTGATCGCGGTTAAGAACGACTTGAAGCCGATGTCTATACCAAACTGAGCAACAACACCTCCTTCCACTGGTTCAGCTGTGCGATTTTGAGATTCTAGTATGTTACAAAATGGAAGGATCGAATCCTTGAAGCCATAATACTGGAGTATTTTCAGTAATTGCTTTAATAAGTTACCATCATAGCGAATAGCATACCTGATAGAAATTGAGCGGTCCATAAGGACACTTGCGGCATTGACATTACTGGTACTGTTGCCTTCGCCATCGTCAAGCCGTTAGCACCTGTGGTATTACCACCAGGACCACTGAGATGGGCTTTCAAAAGCTCGAATTCATGTTCATGACGGCTGTCTCATTGCTGCCACTCAGGGTATCGTCCACATACCTAAACAGACTGAGTCACTGCCGGAAATAATGTAGAAAATAAAACTGTATACTTGGTAACTGCAACCCAATCTGCTGAACAGTTTCGGGTCATGCTACGCTCTGCAGCTTTATAATAGCTGGACATATCAACTTGAGCCTGGACAGGTGCTGAAGACGCCCATGATGCAAAAATTACTGAAGGATTTCGGATTCTCATGAGCGCAGATCTAATGCCAGGGTATGATCCTCCGAGCATAATCCAGGGCGTTTTGCTCGGATGGACAGCAAATTTTTGAAGTGGGTCAGAAGAAATAGGGCCATCGGCGCTCAACTCTGACTGAGCAAAAGAATTAGCAAAGAAAACAATATCCTCGAGCGCTTGTTCTGTATTGAGAAATTGCCACTGTTCCGAAGTCGTATTGCCCTAAAAGCGATAACCTGAGTGCATAAAAAATGGTAAAGACGGCTATCACCAAACGTACATTAACTGGGAAAGGAAGAGACTCTCCGTAGAACCTGTGCTCCCAAAGAAGTGCAAGTCCATTATATCGTTTTGCAAGGCGCATCACGGCAGACAGCCCGTGATATTCCTGATCCGAAAGGCAAGGTTACTACAGAATTGAAGGGCAGTGATATGACAGACCTGTATGTAATATGGGACCAGTGGTTCAGCATTCTGTTCACCCGAATCAAAGACTAACAACAGCCATCAGTCAATTTAAACCATCCCATTGAATAGAGACCAAGCAACAAACGGAACACAGGTCCTCCCGACTTGTAATAAGTGGCATTTAGCCAGTACCTATTTGAGAATGTTGCCGATGTTTTATGACCAAAATGGTCAATGGGTATCTGGAAGGAATAAGGGAGCGTGACAAGGTCAGACAAGAAAATGAACTTACCTGAATTACATTGGCAGAATTGGGCTGAGGAATATTTAATGGCGGAGGGAGACTTTCGCGACCTCCAATCCTAGGTGGCTTTAAAGCTCTCAAAGGAGCTTGAGGGTCTGATGAATAGGAATATGTAACGAGAAAAGCTAAACAAACGGTCAGAACTTGGCACCACATTGGAGATGGAATTGAGAGTGGTCAAAGAAGCGGTGGATTAAATGCTCACCGTGTTTCTGCATACTACATGTTATCAGAAGCACTGGTACAAAGCATGATCATTGTCTGTCGCATGATGCAGAAGAACCTGTGGACGCATAGGAAGAAGACATGTCAATTCCAGCGGTCCGGAAGTTGACCTGCCGAAGGATATATCATAACGGCACGAAAGTCTTGCCAACCGATAAGATTGTCAGGGAATTCAATGCCGATATGGCTGCCATCCTTCTAAAGCGTCGACCTGGTGAGAAAATTAGGGATTTATGACGTGGACACTGGACGAAAGGCTTTGCTAACTCGGCGTCGCTTCTGGCGGTCCGTCAACTGCTCTTATTGCAAAGTATGTTCTGTCTTTTATGGAGGGTGGACAAAACGGTAGATTTGAATTCAAGGCATGAACTGACATGCAGCAGGACGGGATGGACTAAACTGACAATAATAGAATTTGGATATCACAAAAGATTTTCGAAATTATATCACGTGAGGGAGTATTGATTGCCGTTCGGCATTATACCTTCAACCAATATCAAACAATCAGTTGTTGAGCCCCACCTCGACCGACCCATATTGTGTCTTGCACTTTTATTGCTCCCTGGCACCTGTTTAGAAGATGTAAAACCTCCTATTGAGCCCATATGTCAGTCTTGCACAACGATGTATCATGTTTTCCTATTCGAGAATTATATCTCGAGACCTCAGGAGAGGAGCTACTTCCACCAACTCATAGAGAACCTTGAGTCTTCCAGTTCTCCATACGTTGTTTACTGCTTTACTATGCTCTTCCGCCCAGGCGCCTCCCGCGATTGGACTTACAAATTCTATCATGTTCCGACTCAATCAGGACGTTCTTTCTTTGATCTTCATGGTCAACACGCAACTTGATAACTTCTCTTTGGGCTTGTCAGAAAGTTATGATACCGGGATCCATCCGCTGACAACTACTCGTCACACGTCCCAAGTCTGTCAACAATGGCGACGGCTACTTATCGGTTCTCCACTCATCTGGGCGAACAGCATTGAACTTGGTCTTCTGGCACAAAAGAGGGGCCGCTGGCGGAAGGAAGTCCTCAGACGTTGTGGCTTTACAGTAGGTCTGTGCATTCTGGGTCCGGTTGACTGGAATAATCCGCGCTCGAAAGATTTCTTCCGGTTCTTACTGAGTAACGTTTAGGAACGAATTCGAATTTTAGACGTCAAGCTTTGTAATCTTGATTCTAACGTATCTCCCTTCGACCTGGAAGAATTCATGTGCCGCCGTGCACCGATGCTGGAACATATACGTATCTGGGTAGATCCCAACAACCTTCAATGTCCGAACATCAAATACTGCTCGAAGCAGCATACAGATTTCATTTTCCCTCTTTCGACCTATGGTCACCTCAGGTCTTGTCCATATCTTCCTCAGCTACATTCAATCTCACTGGACGAATTTACTTTGGGTTCGACTTCGGAGTTGTCCTGTTTACTGAAAAACATGACGATGGTCGAATGCTTGACCATCTATTGCATGCCTCTCCATATGGGAGGACACCTTACACGACCTATCAACTTTTTAAATCTCAGTCAGCTGCGAATAAAACACAACCTTGCTGGTTGTCTTGTGATTATGTCAAGAGTCATG